ACTCATTAACTAACAGTTTGTAAATGGTATATTAACTATCTATAAGGCATCGTTATAAATCATCAACAAACTATTAACAAACACTTAACAAGTGGTTAATAACTCGCTAGTTAACAGTTTACAAATGATCTATTAACTAGTTATAACGGATAGTTATTATAAAGTGTTACCAACCCACCTAACTGATCCTCTAAATGACTCGTTCTTGGCTCTGAGCAGTTTTTAGAGCAACTAGTGAAGACATCAGGATGTTACTGTGAATGGCCAAGATGTAGCATAGCACAAAACCTGCTATAAAACAATTTATTTTCTTAATTTGTGTACAAATTAAGCAAACAAGACACAATGTGCTTGTAGTTAATGAGCTTTAGATAAATTGGTAGGCAGATTTTGTTGTATTTTCACTTTTTGCAGGCTGGCAGTTTCCACCTGAATCCAGTCATTGTGCTAAGCTAAGCTAACTGGATGCCTTGTGCTGCAAAACCTTACATTTAACGCACAGTTATGGGATTCAAATCAACCTCAACAAACAGTGCCACGAAGCAATTAAGTGGTGAGAGTATTTAAAAGAAGCCAAAGTATGGCAGATTAAGTTAAAACAAAGGGTTCTGTACTTGATTCCCTTTAGTATATAGTAAATAGAGAACAATTTGTATTATTCTTGTCTCTTAAGGAAATAAAGCAGATTTCCTGACAGGCAGCCTTTAAATAAAGACACACGACTTTATCTTGTTTTCAGAATTTTGCCTGAACATCATGTTTATGGTTAAATTACTGTTTCTTTGACTATAAAAGGGATGCATCCACCAAATATTAACAGATCTTTACGAGTGACAGGTGAGGAGGCAACATGTAAAACAACACGCAACCTGTGGTTCCTTGAAACAAGACTGTTGTTGTGTTTTTCCACAGAAACAATGGAGAAGTTGCTGAAAAGGGAAAAAGAGGTCTCCACTCTCACGTCCCAGGTCGAAGCCCTCAAATCACAGATTGGAGGTAAATGTCACTTTCCAAAGCTTGCATGTCCAAAGCGCTCGCTGACCTTTTCCAAGCTCTGATGTCTGTGCTCTTGCAGGGTTTTTTTTTTATGACAACCGATCCCTAAATATTGTATTTTTTACACACAAGTGGACTTTTTTTTTTTTTTCAAATAAATCCACACAACAATGAAACAACAAGGTCAGGCCTGATATTGGAAGCATTTGCTGCCAATTTAGATAGAAAAGATATTCCACAATATGTAAAAGTCACGCTGTTTCATATTTAAATGATGACCTTCGTTAGTATCATTCTATCAGCGCTGCTCTCTGTATGCGCGCTGACTGCAGGATTCGCTTAATTTCCCGCCAGTCACGCTGAGTTCACGGCGCGGGGGATTGTCTTCATCTTCACCGCTACGTTCTTTGATCATCGCCGAGAAATCTGCCTGTTCTTTGAAAAGTTCCATCACATCAAACGGGCCCCCAAAACATGTTCCGTGTAGTTCGGCTAATCAAATTGACACTCTGAAGAGCGGATTGTAAATAATTTAAAAGGCGAAAAGAACAATATGAAACTCAAAGTGAGGAACAGCTGCTTGACTTTATTTTATGAGACTGGTTTTTTGGTGCATAAACTGAAATTTTTAAATGTTGACAGCTCTTCCACTTCTTTTTGTCTTTTTGTGCTGGAAATTTAAGTTGCTTTTGACCAAACGCTGCTGCAAATAATTTATCAAAGGAGAGCGGAGGGGAAATGATTAGAAAAAAATGGAAATTAGTAGGAAGAGAATTTTAATAAAAAGCCTGCTGTCGTTATTTTTTCACGTAGCCAAGATCTCATAAAGGAAAAGACTTATTCTGCTATATTAGGCTATTATAGTAATAAATAATGAGCTCACAGATTTAGCATGAAATTGATTGAGTTTATAAGCATAATACCTGAAGTCAGTTTGTGTAGAATAAAGCCTTTCTGTAATAAACACAGTAGGTATATATATGTTTTTGTTTTGTAAATAATAATAAATCACTAAACATACCCGAAACAAAACAAATCGGATTTAATTGTAATTCCACTGCAGATTTAATTAACATAACAAAATAACTGCAGAATACAATAAATAAATCCTTCTTGTTTCATATTCTTACATTTAATTATTACAACTGTTCATACTCTAGTTATTAATACGTCATGTGAGGAGTCATGATCATGAACAGATAAATACTTCATCTCTCTAAGGCCCAAAATTGCCATCAGGTTTGAAAATTCTTTTTTTTTTTTTCAAAATCCCCTAAAGTACATTATTTTTCAGAGACAGAAACAGCTAAAATAGACAGAATTGCCAGACTTTCACCTTTTCAACAGCCCTTGAAACAATGATTTGGGACATTCTGTTCTTTTGGACAACGTATTCATATGAAATCTTAAAATTTCATGAAGAACATTTCAAATCACTTTATTCTGTTTGGCTCATTTTAGAGTTTGCCAAATAATTAATCATGTGCTCTAACTAGATTCTGAAAAAAAAAATTCTGCACTCCTCATTGCAACTGTGAAGGCATGAGTGACTCCACTTCAACCAACTGCCACATGACGAAAATTCAGAATTCATGAGGCTAAACTGGATTGAACTGCAGGCTGTTTACACAGAGCCGAGAGGAAACAAGTATCGAAAGTATTAAAAATTTTAAATTTTAATTTAAGGCCTTAAAACTTTGTTATGCTACACCGTAAGCATTGTTGGGTTCTTTCTCCTTCTATCCATCGTTGTGCTGTTTCCATCGAGGTGCAAGACTTTATGTTTATAGTGAACAATGAGCCCACAGAAAACATCCAGAACCTGCTTAGGGTTCAGAGGGTTCTTACAATTACACTGTTATATGTTGTCATCATTAATACACTGAGTGCAAATGCTGATGCTCTTTATTTATTGATTTATTTATTCCAGCACTGGAGGGCAAAGTTCGCTCAGGGGAAAAGAAAGTAGAGTCTCTGGCCAGAGAGAAGATGCGCGTGGAGGCCGAGCTGGAGTCCATGACCAAGAAGTCCCATGATGCCTCTGGGCAGTTGGTCAGCATCAGCCAGGAGCTGCTGAAGAAAGAGAGGTAATGTGACAAAGCGATATCGATTTGACGTTCTGCCTCAGCACTTTGTGGATAGCTCGAGTGAAAAATTACATCCGTGTACATGGAGACGTGATGTAAAAAAGCCTCTTATTATCAATCTGATAATGGGCAGGTAGTCAGAGGCCAGAGACAAAATATTGATTTTATGGTATGAATTGTGAACTTAAACTACAGGGAGTGCTGTATCTTTTTTTTTTTTTTGCAGATAGACACCCAGTAAACAAGAATAAACACGCTGCTTGTCTTTGGAGTGTTCATCTCTCAGAATTTGTTGCCTTCATGTCATAACAAGGCTTGGTTTGATTTAACTGTCCAGAAAATGTGATGATGAGGATGAAGGACATTTCAAGTCTCGACTTAGTTGTCCTTAATTTAAAATTTTACTCTCCCTATGGAGGAAAGGTGTTCTGTTCACAGTAAAACACATAATAAAATGTATTTTAAGAGTGATACAAACAAATTATCTTCAGTTATAATGTAACTCATCACTAACAAGTCAGTCAGTCAGTGTCTGTATATTAGATTAAAATGAAACGATGTGACAAATCAAAATGGCCATTAACGTACTGTGAGGTAAATTAAAGAAACATTTATTTTTTTTAAATTTCGTGTTAGAAATTTAATTCAACTTTGCTACATAATTGTGAAAAATGAACCCTCTCAACCTGAAGGAGTCTCTGGGCATTTTTGTGCTCCTGTTACATTTTTACTCACTCTGAGCTGATTATTCACTACAATATAAAGTTCTGGACATCTATAGAAACAGAACAACCACGGCTTGGTGGAGAGAGAGGACTCTTGTATATCTTGTGTGCAGTATAACAGTTATAATGCCATAAATCTGAAAAATGAAAACACATAAAGTTACATTTCTTTGATTTTTATTTTAAAAATTGAAAAAACCTGGAATCAACATGAGCAACATTTTTCTAAGAGCTGACAGCTGTTACCAGTTCTGAAAAAGACAAAATCTTATGACCCAACATACTTCAGATAACATACAACTTACTTAAATGGCTTCCATACTTTTTCTTCTGTCGGCTCTGTGTAAACACAGCCTGCAGTTCAGCCCAGTTCATCTGAAAAATCACAGAATTTTTCTGACGTGACAGTTGGTCACAGCTGAATCGCTGTATGCTTCACAGTTGTGACAAAAAATGCAGAATTTTTAGTTTTTTACTGAATCTGGTTGGAGCAAACGGTTTTTTCAATGAGGCATGTAGAATGAAGCTTAGAAGATTTAGATACGTTTAGATTTGGATGCGGTTCCTGACCGAATGGCAGCTTGAGGACTGTCAAAATGCAACGATTCCCTTTTGTTTTTCTGGGTCGGATAATTGGTGTAATTTTGGCAATTTTTTACAGATAACATTCCTTTTAAAGCTGCCAGTAGGTTTTGAGCTTCAGAGGGTTTGTATTTTTAACACCGTGGACACGTTTTGTCACAAGTTAAAGCAGCATTCATTTCATGTTGCGACCTGAAAGACACTAAAGCTCCAACGGGGCTCAAGATGATGGCTCTCTGTGGGTGTCTCACTATGAGCGACCCCCTTTTTACGTTTCACACAGTCATTTGACCCATTGTTAATACAAACACAGCGATTAGTGCCTCTTGAACATGATGGATGAGTGTTTGTGCTCAGATTTCTATCAGAAGCTTTAGGAACATATTTGACTTTGTGCCAGCACATACTGACTTCGCACAGCGCCTTGAAAAGTGGCGCCTGGGAGCTGCTAGCAGAGAGAAACAACAAACCACAGCCAGAGGTCCAACTTTCTTGCTGTAGATCAGCGTTTTGTTCAGTCTGGTTCATTTTTCAACAACCTCCAAGCCAGTTTTTGTGGGTTAAGCTCCCGCTGTCAAATAGAAATGATAACTGATATTATTTATGTGCAAAAAGAAACTTGCTGTGGCATCATCGTAGAGGTGCATAGATGAATCTTCCCCCTTTTTTTCATAAAGTCCAGACACATTCAGTGCTTTTCTCCAACTCCAAACATTGGCTTAATAGCATTACATTATGGCTACTTCACATTATGCGGTCTTTACATTATTGATGGTTATGATGTTAGAAAATGCTGCACGGCACTAAAAATAAGACTTATTGGATATCGTTATGTTCCCTAATGTCAGCTGCAATGTGCTTTTGGGGAAACAAACTCTTAGTCTGCCAAAGAAAATAGAACTTTTGAGTGTTGTTGCACATTTTAATCTGAGGGAGATAAGATAACTCAAGTGAAAGTGTTACTAGAAAGTCATGCAGTAAAAGGAATTTAGATTTTTAGGAAGCAAATGACAAAAGGGTGGAAAATAACACCAATGATAGCATGGTTATTGTATGAAACAGTGAAGGAAGAATACACTGTGACTGGGTGTGGTGGATAATTGTTTAATAATGAAAAATTAAATTGTGTTTTGTTTTTTTTAAAGCTGCATTAACAGATTTGTTGCCACTTGGAGACAACAGAAACAAGCTGTGAACATAATGTTGATACATTGCTGTATCTACCACCTCATAAACTTGACTTTTAACTGCAATATAAAGTCCTGCATCTTGATAGAAACAGCACACCCATGACTAGAAGGAGAGAGAACTCAGAAATGTCTTCCGTTTTCATTTTTTTCCAACATCAAATCAACATTTTTCCCAATTCGTCCAGGTGTGACCAATCCTGGAGGAAGAAATGGGGACTTTATATACTGCAGATGTTTTACTACTTAGACCTTTAATTTGTTTCCGATCTTGACTTCTACTTGTTCTGTGATAACACAACCGGCAGTTTGACGAAAAAAAAGTCCCTGATTTTTATGTCACGTTAATGTTAACTGCAGATGAAACACTGATGGCTTCACAAATGGGCGCCAAAGTGCAGAATTTGTTTTTTTTTACAGAATCTACTTCTTGAAAGCAGTTTATTTTGGACATTTTTGCAAATGAAACAGGTACAATGAAAGGATTTTGATGAAATAACACAATTTTAAGCTTAGCTCTGGATAATTTAGGATGAAGCAATATATTTATCGATGAGTAGTTCTGACTACACTGAATAATACATCCTCTTCCTACAGTTTTCCTACAGTTTAATGGTATAATTTTGCCATTTAAAATAAAAAATGTAAAAAAAACTTAAAAACTTTATTATTTACAGCTGTTTTTTATAGTCTGACTCGAGAAAACTGTTTATTTTTGGCCATTTTTAACATTAGACAGAAAAAAATTGACTTTGTTTAAATACAACAACTTAAAGCTTTGATAACTTTTTTTTTTTTTTGCCTGACAGAACATCACAGATGAGTAGTTCAAGGATCCACAAAACTTTTCTGTGTCTGGCTCAGTGTATTTTTGGCGATTTTGTAAAGACAGCATGCCCTTAAAGGGTGACTGTAACAATATCGATCAGCCTGAAAAGATGCTCCAATAATTGAATTCTTATAAGAAGAAAATAAATATGATGACCTCCCTGCTCTTTAAATAAGCAAAGGTGTTTTAAGGTGCCAGCACCTTCACCCACTGCTTATGTGCTTCACTTATATTAATCTTCTGGCGAACATCCAGATAAATATTATTGGAATGGAGCATCCATCCGCCAGCCAGTCTGACATGCAGCGAGGATATCCACCTCCACAATCCCCACTGGCCTGTCTGGATAACATATTTGAATACTGGCTTGATAAGCTTTTAAATAATAATGACCTTTGAGACTTTTGGTTTAATAGTAAAACTGCACTGCTCCTCTCTGCTTATTGCACTTTCGAGCAGTCCGGTTTCTCTGCACCACAAACCTGCAGGCCACAAAAAACAGCAACAAATTTGAAATACTGATGATATTTTGCTTGTTTGTCTGCCCTTTTGTCTTTTTTTTTTTTACTGCAGGAGTCTGAACGAACTGAGAGTGTTGCTCCTGGAATCGCATCGCCATTCGCGGGACATGGAGAAAGACCTGAACCGAGAAGTTCACAAGGCCGAGTGGAAGGTCAAGGAGCAGAAGCTTCAGGACGACATCAAGACGCTGCGAGAAAAACTGCTTTTACTGGTGAGGCGACAATATAAAAGTGCTTCCGGGGTGTCGGACAGTATGACTTTATTTTAGACATTTACTCCTGTTTTGTCACCGTTCTAGAAAGTTTGATTTTAAATCCATGTAGGCGTAAATGCAAGAAACTTATTACATGCTTCATATATCAGTTTGACATAAGGACGTATGTGAGTTTGACTGGACACAGACAACACATTGCTTTAAAAAAAACTGTGTCCATCGTCTCTCTGCTGACTAGTTTCTGACTCAGCACAACAGGAACTGAAGAGAATATCCGTGTCTTTTTGATCGTTATTGTTAACCTCCTCTGGAAAGATGATTTAATATCGTGAAGGTTTGCGCTTCCCTCCAAAGAAAATGCCTGGAACAGCATCTCTCTGAAATGGCCTTTGCCACAACCTACTGCCTGAAATGTTAAAGCAACACTCCAATGATTTCATGCTGCCGCTTTAATAAAGTAGGAAAACTCATGAGATCAGATAGAAAACTGTCAAACTCAGTGTAACAGCAGCCAAAATATCTGTAATATAGATTGATGAGGCTCCTTCAGAGCCAAAGTGGCACTAATGATGAAGAATACATTATTTTAAA